AGAGAGGTCAAGACTCCTATGCCCGGTGCGGGCCCTTAGAGCTTATGTCCAGACTACCGCAGGCATGCGTCAGTCTGAACAGCTCTTTCTGTGTTACGGTGGTCCTAGAAGGGGCTGTGCGCTCTCAAAACAGCGCTTGTCCCACTGGATCATGGACGTCATTGCCCAGGCATACAAGGCGAATGACCGTCCCTTGCCACCCAGAGTAAAGTGCCACTCTACCAGGAGTGTCTCCACGTCATGGGCGACCTTGAGAGGTGTGCCCCTGGAGGACATATGGGCTGCGGCCACATGGGCATCTCTGAGCACATTCGCCAGATACTACAGGGTGAATGTTACTGCCCCTCACCCGCTGGGTGTGGTCCTCCTGCAGAGTCCGCCTAGGCCATCCTTATAGGGGGAGTATTCAGACTTCCTCGTGACTCTGTTGGTATAGGTCATCCAGTGCTAAAGCACCGCCTCTGGCGGTCAGTAAGTATGAAATAGAACGATAGTTACGTATGTAACTACGGTTCTATGAATACTGGATGACCGCCAGAGTTCTTGGTCACTCGGAATCTCGTGTTTCCGCGAGAAGATTCCATAGAACTGAACTCGTTGACAACACCGGAACTTATACCTTCCGGGGTCATACGAGGTCACACGTGACTTTGTTGATATAAATATTCGACCTACGCATGCGCGAGACAGAAGATATCCAGTGCTAAAGCACCGCCTCTGGCGGTCATCCAGTATTCATAGAACCGTAGTTACATACGTAACTATCGATTTATTTAGCCATGTTTCTGATAAAACAATGGCGTCAGTCGAGCTTTCCCAAATGCGGACAAAATCTAGTTTACCTAACAGACTGCGCACATTCAAGTGGATGAAACCCAACCCAGACCTAGCTTTAAAATCAGCAGGAGTAGCGATCTGACTACTACTACTGGGCGGACCAGGGTTAGATTGAACATTTCCTGACAGTAATAACAACAAAAAAAACAGGCATCTTTTCCTCTTAAACGACACACATACAGTACCAATATTGGTATAAACATGGCGTCTCCAATTGCAATACAAATTGACAAGTCCTCCAACTCATACGACCAAATAGGTTGATTGTTCAAGCACTTAATACGACCTATAATCACGTTTTAAAGTTTTCGACCTCTAGTGCTCCCGTTGATTGCAAACGCTCCGGAGGGTTGTATATTCACAAATAACCCTCTCTGGAAAATCCGAAATTGTAGGATAGTTTGGCCATTAAATGCTTTTTGATTAGATTTCTAGCGAGAAGTGTATATTGTACTTTTAGAATCCACGTCCAGTGGACGTGTAGGATCTATAGTTTGATAGATATTACGAAGATGATTTGAGGTCTCGCCAGGAGAACTGTATATGCGGCAGCGTCCATGTAAAGTTAGCCTCAACACGTCAACACTCACGGGGTGAAAACAGTATTTCCGGTCTCGAAGTTTTCATAATAAAACCGTATTCCCCCCACTGTCAAATGATTTCAAAGCTATATCTGCATTACTCATCCACTTAAAAACATCAGTGTATCCTTGTTAATTACACAACATTAATTGGTTTAAATTGTGTACAATGCTTTTGTGTTTTTCCCATAGGTTTTTCCATTTAGATTCTGAGACACATTTCTTTTTTTTTTTGATAGGCTAAAACATCTACCTACCCATAATCCTCAGCTACCGTTCAAGCTTGGTGATTGGATGTTTTAGCCGCAATGCACTTTGGGATATGGTGTTTATGCGATATGAAATCCGAAAACATTTAAAAAAAAAATAATAATAATACTTTATTCCGAGTGTGCTTGCTTTTCTCTTTGGAAGTCATCACATAACGGCATTGTAATACACGGTTCGGCTGCATTAAATATTACACATCTGCCGTAGTTCTTTATTTATAGAGCCCTGATGAGAAGACCTTTGGACAAACTGGAAGAAATGCCGCAGAAACTGAATACGTGATGTTTTCTTTGAATATAAGAATATAAATACTGAGTTGAGCGAATAGTCAGGGGTTTTGGGTGATGGGAGACACATCTATGGAATCACAATTTCAATAGCTTACCATTAAATGACGGATATACCTTTCTGTCTGTGATGTTTTACAAATCAGATATGAATATGTATACACATTCATATCTGATATATTACACTATATATATAATATATATATACATTATCAGCTATAATATTAGTTCTATAGAACTACAATATGTGAAATATTATAGCAATATCCTGTACAATTATGTGAAAACATGAATAAAACTACACATCTTCAGATGTTATACATACATAAGTGTACTACACTAATAATACAAAGTCATTATGGCATTGTATGCTGTGTATTATTTGTAACATCTTCAGAAACTACCTTTCCAACTTTTTCTTTTATCGTTCTGTTTTAATTTCACAATAAAGTTAATAGTAATTATGTTTGATATTATTATGTTTTATTAACTAGACCACTGGTTTTGCGCGAGGTGCGCTAGTGAGCACGCTCATGAACTGTTCGCCGGAGCCTCGCAGCAGGGATGTTGTAGTCCCAAACGATAGCTTAGGATTCTGGGTAGTGTAGTGTCTTCGGAAACTGTAGTGTCTAAACTCCGAAAAAACTATTTGTTTCTCCGAATGGAAGGTTAAAAACACAAAAGCATTGTACTCAATTTAAACCAATCAATATTGTGTAATTAACAAGGATAAACTGATGTTTTTTAGTGGATGAGTAATGCAGATATCACTGTGTAATCATTTGACAGTGAGGGGAATACTTCCGGTTTTATTATGAAAACTTCGAGACCGGAAATACTGTTTTCACCCCGTGAGGGTTGACTGTGGGAGAAACTTCTGTGTAGCAATGCAGTGGGAGTCACCGACTCAGGAAGGAGACACGGGATAGAGCTGGAGCTTTGATGTCAAACACTGATGGTTTATTAGGAGCTTCGGCCAGAGAATTCACAAAACAAGTCAAAAAGTCAGAGGTTCTGACTTCACGTAGAGTTGCCACGTCAATTCTGAAGAACTCTACCCCAGACCCATGTATTTAGCTAGTTCAGAGAGAATAATCAACATTGTGCATAACAAGATAGAATCATAACACCTCTATCAGCTGACGCCAACAGGCAGGAACAGGGAGACAAAACAGTGAGAGCACAGCAGCCAAGGTTACAGGTGCGTGTGCTCAGTCAGGACAGTATGAACTGATAAACTGGGTCAAAGTTATGCGCCTTGGAAAATACTTCCCCAACATTGACGCCAACTTTACATGGACGGTGCGTAAAGACGTAGTACACGTTCTCCTGGCGAGACCTCAAATCATCTTCGTAATATCAAACTATAGATCCTACACATCCACTGGACGTAGATTCTAAAAGTACAATATACACTTCTCGCTAGAAATCTAATCAAAAAGCATTTGAATGGCCAAACTATCCTACAATTTAGGATTTTCCAGAGAGGGTTATTTGCAGAGATGGGGTCGTTACTAAAAAAAAAGTAATATATTACATATTACTTTAAAAAAAAAAGTAATATATTACACTACTTCGTTACTCTCTACATAAAGTAACTCGTTACTTTACTCGTTACTTTACTCGTTACTTTACTCGTTACTTTACTCGTTACTTTACTCGCAGGGCCGGCCCGCCCCTCCCTACAGGCAGATCACGCAGACTGCTAAAGTTTCAAATGTTCTCTTTAGTTCAGTTTCCATTGTCGCATAAGACTGATCCAGATAGCTCTGACTATGGCTGTCCTCTGTCTCCTGCTATCTGTATTTTGCGCAGTATATCTCTGAACGATGCGATGGTGATTCCACTGTGCAAATGGGCAACATTACCTCTACTATGAAGGATGCTACAAGCCTGTCCATCTCTGCTTTGGTTCCGGTCCTCCAAATTCTAATTTGTGCTGCTTCGGAGTCGGCGGCGGCGCACTCACATCATCCTCACTCTGGGTTCGCGGGTCCTTAGCTATTAGCTTCACCTTAGCATGTGTTCTTTGCAGGTGTTTGTTGAGGTTTGACGTGGTGTTTGCAGCAGTGTATAACAGCTTCTGGCCTGGACACAGTTTGCACCTCACCGTCACATTCCTGTCTATTCTTCGGGAGAACTCAAAATAATGGGCATACCTCCACCCCTCGAAAGTTATCGCTGACTCTGCCATGTTTATGCAGCACTGCACGTGGAGATGTGGACACGCAAGTCGCGCAGATTACGTACATATAAACCTGCGGCGGAAACCCCTCTTGTCTGTCAGTGTGATTATGACTGATTTTATAAAAGTAACGAAGTAACGCGTGTCGGGGCAATGTTAGTAACTGTAGTGTGATTACTGAATTATAAAAGTAACGCGTTACACTACTCCGTTACCGACAAAAGTAATATTATTACAGTAATAACCCAACTCTGGTTATTTGTGAATAAACGACCCTCCGGAGCGTTTGCAATCAACGGGAGCATGTTGTTTCTTACACGACCACTAGAGGTGCTACACTTTAAAATGTGACTATGGGTCGTAATAAGCTGCTGAACAATCAACCTATTTGGTCGTTTTTTGTAGGAGGACAGGCTGCAAATTGAACTCGAAATGTTTTTTTTTTTGTAACCTCTGAACTACAACCTCTCTTGTCCTTTCCTCTCTGCTCTGTTTAAACAGTGTAATGTTTCATTGAGTTGTTGTCACATGACAGTCAGTGTCTACCTAAAGACTCAAGTTGTGCTAAGGGGTGCAGAATATTCGTTTTTTACAGGATCTGGTTAGAACTTTAATTGAGACATGTAAAATAAATAGATTTTGATGAGATATCACAACGTTAAGCTTGGTTTGGTTGCTTTAATCACAGAATGTGTTCAAGGGCCGCGAGAAACATGAAAATCCAACAATATTGTTTCACGAGTTTAGAGCAGAGCAGACCCAGATGCAGACTGACTGGTAACAAAATACCTGTGGTGGATGGTGTGTTACTCCTTTGCTTCTCTCTGCCCCCCTTTTCAGGTGTGTGTCCCTCTCAGACCCAGCAGCAATCTCAGACCCCCCAAGAGGGAGAGGATCTCCACAGAAAGAGGAAAAGGCAAAACAAGAAGAACCCCTATGTCTATTTGACCTCCTTCCTGCACCGCAGGCAGTCTGAGGAGGACCAGACAGGCATACTGGCCAGTGCAGACTCCGAGGGCCCAAATTACGGCACTCTACGCTGACCCGTGTGCCCCCAAGCCATTGGACTAGACTGAACCCACCTCAGCCCTCCTTGCTCCACCCCGGGCTCTAGCTAACACATTTCTTATAATCTCTAAAAGTTCATCAGTGCTGGGCAGCGAGAAACATCCAGCTGAAAACTCCGGGGGTTGAAAATCTCATTTGAAGTCAAGAACAATGGCTTTTCTGACTTGGCACCACCACTTGTCTCTGAGGAATTTCACTTGAAAACATTTCAAACATATATAATGTATATAAATAGTAAAAACAAGGGAATTAAGCTTCCTTCTACAGTAATAAAAATGTGTTGGTTGAGTATGTCACAACACGTAAACGATTTTTCACTCACTGGTCATTGATAGGTCCATATCTTTAGGTTTTCCAGTGATACAGTGTACTGTGAAACCTGGTGCGTCCTCGGACATGGACATGGGTCTACCTTTCCTACAATACAAATAGCGTCAATATTAAAACACAGGGTTCTTACCACAAAATATACCTCAGAGTAAACGCAGAGTTGCTGTAAATCTTTGGGTATACTGTAAGTACTTGACCTTTTTACATATGAAACGTATGGATTAAAAGGTTTATATCACACGCCGCACTCATTCAGACAGATAATATGGCCTAACTTGATCTAATTTAGCTTTTTACTATCGATAATAGCTGGAATCTTGTGTTTATTTTCATGTATGATTCAATGCCAACCATTAGAGGACTGTCTTAATTGTTGTGCTTGATGGCTGAGTGTGTTTACACTTATCATTAAAGCACCAAATTAAGAACAAGATCATAGCCTTCATGAGAGCGCTCAAAATAATTTGGGGCTTACACGATCAACAAAGGTTGGACTTTAGGTTTAGAAGAACAGGGTGATGAATTGTGAAGTGTACTGTAGTATGTATTTCATTATTAAGAAAATCATTTGTGGAACGTGGCACGTCTCTAGGTGCCTTTTTTTGCCTTTTCTCTTGTTTTTTCTAACATAAACTGCCTTTTCCTTCGCCTTCTCATATTTGTCTCTTCTGGAGGTTGGAAGTGAGAGACTTTAATAGTATGTGTGTTTTTACTTTCTCTGCCAAGGACACATTAGAGAAAATGCTACAGAGAATGCATAACTTCTTTGTTTTTTACATTTATATTTTAAATGGGTACCTGCTTCAACTTTGTGTATCCAAGTAATAGTACAGAACCAGATTACCCATACAAATAAAACAAAAAAATACCAATTAAAATAAAAAAAGGCAAGTAAATCCAATAAATACCACTTTATGTACAAGAGCATTGTGCATGAGTTTTCATGCGTAACTAGTAGGATGTTAATGTTTAACGACAGCTGTTAGAAGAGAATGTGATTTATTCATGAAGCGGTTAACAAGCAATGGGAAACACTCTAACAATGGCCACCCTGACTGTTTATCTTTCACAACTGTATATTACTTGCTAGCTACTTCTCTGTATGTTTGTTAGTTTTTCGTCACTAACCGATAATGAATGTATGTTTTGCTGTACAGAAAATGAATGTCCCGATGTCACAGTACATTGAATGACCCATTACGTTGTTTATAGAGCAGCTGCCATTGGTGAGATGTCCAGTTGGCAAATTAAGTCCAAATTGTTTAACTTCTCTGTGTTATTGCTGCATAAGGTAATAACTAACAGCCCCACACAAGTCCTGAGCGAAGCTCCCTTTCTTCTGATGGCTACAAAAAACCCATTTCCTTTTTACTGCTAATGCTAGTTCAATCACTCAAAAACATATCAGCTATATTTCCATCTGCTACAAACAAATCAGAGGTTTCCGACAAATATCCACATGAATGAATCGACTCAATGTCTGCTTATTGAAATCTCTTTTGACAAGTGAGAGAGTGATGATTGCCTGAAAGTGAAAGTGCATATTCTACTTTAACAAATTGGGTTCATGTAAGATACGAGTAAAAAAAAAAAAGATCTATATTTGTTATGTACTGTACATGGTATGTATTGTATTTGTAAAGATGAATCAAACCATGTTTTACAGGAAGACGTTCTTGTATGAGGATGGATGAAAAGACGGGAAGGATCCCTAGGAAAAATAAATTAGATTATATATAAAAGTATTTGCTTACAGTACGGCTTTAAGTGGATAATGTTTCTAAAACATTTTAAGGTGCCTCATTTGTCATACTTTAGCAGACATTATTTTATCTGAGAAGAAAAGAAACCTTAATGTTAGTACCGTACGATGTATTATTGCCATAGCCCGCTGGCTGCACAAGTTAAGTAGTATTTTCTCTGATGTATAGTACGTGAATGCCCTTTGGAAAAAGCTTTAGAAGCAGACGTGTGTTGCCCTCTATAACAATATTCTTGGAACAAAGTAATACTCGTAGATTTATCCAGATCTTTCGCCTTCAGGTGTCCAAAGCAAATAAACGGAAGGAAACTTTTTTCTAAGAGTCACAGACATGCTCTCGTCATGTACAATACGTGCTGTGGAGGAAACTGTGTTTACATTAGTTTGATGAAGAAAAGTGTGTTAGGGCATAGTTGCTTTGAACATTACGACTTGGTGCTATGTTTAACTTTGTGGTGCTGTAGAATAGAGGTCTAAAGATTTTTTGTTCTGTTTCCACAAGTAGGCCCTGTGTGTTTGAGCAACTAAACTAGCTCCGGTAGACTCTATAGGTCCTTATCATAACAGTATCATGGTGTGATGACAGTGATAGACAATACTGGAAAAATAGTAGTATAACCTCGAGTAATAGAGACTTGTGACATTCAAATGAACTCCTGTTTTCTATAGTGTGTTTGCAATGTCTGTCTGTGCTTCCAAGGTACCCTCTCTAAAGTATATTTGTGATGATATTGACAATATTAACCAAGCCTAAAAGAGAACCTGGTTTAAATTAGTACACAGCCGCAGGACACATGAGAGGGAATCTGAGAGCAATGTCAGGTCGCGAGGGGATCTTTTCTACACACTTCCTGTAGGTCCGCCATCTTTGGTTAACAGCACTGTTTTTCAAGCACACTATCTGCAGGGGCGTAACCGTCTCATGTCATCACCACTTTTCTGACCGTAGAAATACTACTAGTACTGTACACTATGGCCACGAGTAGCCATCAGACCACATTTGTATGTAATGCTGATTCTCCTGGTTGAAAGGTGTTGGGAAAGCTCATACATCCTGTATGCTTGTGTGGGTTTAAAACGAATGGATGTTGTCTTCCGGGCTCTTTTTTGCATATTCAACAGAAACATGTAGCCTACAGCGTTTAAGAGGGCTGCTTTGGACGTACTGTTAGCTCGATTTTTTTATTTCCTTTTCAATTTTTCTGCTTACAGCTTTTAGTGCATCACTAGGTGCTGGTAGGATGATACTTAGAACCGATTTGATTTTTTTATTGTATTAATCTTGCATGTAGAGACAATACAAAAAAAAACCTATTTAGCAATCATTCATGGACATCCGAGCTGGTTGTTATTGGACGGAAAATAGAAATATGTAGTATTTTCTATATTCTCTGTTTTTTCATGTGTACCAGCACTGAGGAACTAGAATGTATTATTATCGTAGGCTACAATAAGCACTACATCGTTGACTGTTTTAGCTATTGCTCATACTCAAGCAAACCAAGTAGTGCTTAAAAAGGAAGAAAATTGACTACATTTAATTTCATTTTCATCCACTGAACTCTGTGCTGTTCATCCCATGTTTACATTCTGTATTATATGTTGTTTATTGGTTTTTTTGTACATAGTTTGTCTCCATAATGGTCTTTAAGTTGTATTCAACACTGTTCATATGTAAATATTTCCCAAACATTTTTTTTACTTTTCTCTGTTTTAAAATGATAACCTGATGTCCCTTTTTTTGTGTTCAGTTTTTAGACTTGTATTTCCGTTATGTCACCACATCAGGTATAACGCTTCACTTAACTTTTTGTGAGCAATTAACTCATACTGTATGGTGCTGTACCAAAGCCTTATGTATAATATTTGTATTACTTTATCTCTTGTTTGCCACTGCTGTCCAGTGAATTCTGTATCATCTGAGATCATGTCTTACTCACTCTTCATGTTCAACTGCCATGGATCTCATTTCTTTATTGAGTAAACAGAAACCTGAACGAACTACGATGTAAAAACTCTGGCCTGTAACCAACTGGCCTGGATATGACAGTTGCCATCAAAAGCCTTTGTAAGGAGAAACACACAGGCTCACTGCTGGTGGCTCATTGTGACGTAGACATGGGCCTAGCACATGATCTATGCTCTATATATGGCATGTATGAGAATATGAAAACAGTGTTGTATTCATGTCACCATATCATTTCAAAATGCTTAGTCCCATACGAAATTTTCCTCTCAAATTTTTGTATTTTGATATAATAAAAAAATCAAAAGAGGTTTTATTTTTCCTTGTGGATTTATTTTTCCTAGACTTGAGCTCCTCTGTTCGTATCTCTCAATAAGGTGTAGTTCATATGCTGCACACAGGGTGTAGGTGTTGGGCAGATGGAGATAGGGTGGGGATTGAGCGGTTTAATCAGGCTGGTTTTTTTTGTTCTTTAATCCTAGGACACACTAGCAGCAGCCCATGAGTTTAACTGCAAGGTTTTATATCAGTTTTTTATCTCTAGAAAATCTTTTTTCCTTTGATTTGTAACATGTCGGATATGTGACTTTATTTAGAATGGTGCTATTGAGATCAAAGTCTATGTTTAAATGCACACAAGTTGTTAAATGATTAATATGTTGACCCCAGCTTGGCTTTCTTGGCCATTCAAACATTAAGGAATGATTTGTGTGGCGGAACAAGAAAAACAAATAACTTGAAAGAGGATGAGTCCTATCAGAATGACCTTTGTGCTTACCCCCGGCAGGCACACAAACAAATGAGCAGCGATCTGCATACACCTGGAGAGCAGTTCATCCACTGCTGGGCAAACACACCAACCTTTGCAGGCATCACCAACTCTTTTGACAAAAAAAGTCTAATTGTTTAACATTTTTCTTAAGCTATTATATAAAATGTAAAAACATAGTTGTTCCTCCTTTGGTCTGTAGCTCACATTTTTCTTCTCATTCAATTTGTCAGTTTATTCAGTTTTTTTTCCAGAAACAACGCCTATAAAGATAATAGTTTGGCATTGAGAAATACACGTATGTGTTCTTGCCAAAAAGTAATTTAAGAGGATTGATTAACTTTTGCAGCAGCCCATCTTATATTGGTCCTACTGCTCCAGGTAGCAGCCAGTTAGCTTAGCCTAACAGACTGGCAACAGCTGGCCTGGGTCTTATTAAAGGTAACATATACATCACATTGTAAGCTCACACATATTACACTTTACAGTCGTTGAGCTTTAATCATAGAGCTAATAAAAAAATATATTTGATATATATTTCTTATAACTTCCTGTTCACTATGGAGTTGCCAGGCAACCAGTTGAGACTTGTGGAAGCTACTGCAACCTATCTGTTGAACATAATGAATACAGTATACTAGAAAATACATAGGGAAGATATTTATGCTTATCTTACACATTGTATTATAGATCTGAGTAAAACAAAAGTAAACAAGAAATTGAGAAAAAACTGGTAATTAGTTAACTTTGAGATGCTGGTTAGCGTTCTATAATTGTAATTCTATATATGTATTACTTTGGACCATGCTGTATTTACCCGTTGCTTACTTTATGTCTCTTCAATGTGTAAATAATGGCCTGCTTAAATACTTTCCACCACTGCCAAAATGTAGAACTATTGCTCTAAAAATGTTGACTGATGTTAGGTATTTGCTTGAGGAATAATATCAATAATAACAGTAGTACAATTGTCAGATATAAATCAACAGAGACTTAGAGATTCATCTTGCAGTACATTTTCTTGCAGGGTCAGGGATCTTAATGGTGTCCCAGTGCCTCCCCAGCAAAAATAAGTATTTGAAATCCACTCCTTTAGTGGACGGGCACAATAAGATGATGTATATTAGGATGGTGGTTTGCAAGTTTTACTCCTCTCACTGTTACCACCCCACCTACACTAGATGGTTATGTAATTCTGTACCAAGCATTACCTAACACCACACAATTTGCCAGATGGGGCTCCTCAGGCTGGTGAATATTTTCAAAAAGGATGAAGGGGGGAGGGGGGGCTGCATATACTCTCACGCCTGCTGCATATTCAGGTCCTTGACATTGAAAAGGTCTGGGAACCCCTAGGGCTAAAACATCCCAGGCGCGCGAGCACGAGATCAGTTGTGCGCGCTCCCGCTGGCGAGTGCAGATTCACAGAGCGAGCCAGCTCCTCGGAATCACTCCCACACTGCCTCAGCCTCAGAGATGTCGCACCCGAGCACAGCTTTCACCACAGAAAACATCTACCGTCCGATGATCCGCTGTAAGCCTGCGTGTGTGTCCGCGATGAGCGTTTCTGCAGTGCGATGCTGACAGCATGTTTCCTCGTCGAGAAGCTCAGCGCTGTGCAGCATAGAGGAGTGGAGCAACGTGCACAGTCACAGGTAGGCTGTTCGATCAGGGAGTCAATCCCACACACATTATTGAACCGCTGTCACTGCCCTGATGTGTCATTTTGAAACCTGATCCAGGCTGTTATACGAATCGATCAGCCGATCAATTTGTGTGTGTGTGTGTGTGTGTGTGTTGTGTGTGTGTGTGTGTGTGTGTGTTGTGTTGTGTGTGGTGTGTGTTGTGTGTGGATGTGTGTGGTGTTTGTGTGTTGTGTGTTGTGGTGTGTGTTGTGTGTGTGTTGTGTGTGTGTGTGTGTGTGTGTGTTGTGTGTGTTGTGTGTGTGTGTGTGCTGTGTGTGATGTGTGTGTGTGTGTGTGGGTGTGTGTGTGTGTGTGTGTGTGTGTGTGTGTGTGTGTGTGTGTGTGTGTGTGTGGTGTGTGGTGTGTGTGTGTGTGTGTGGTGTGTGTGTGTGTGTGTGTGTGTGTGTGTGTGTGTGTGTGTGTGTGTGTGTGTGTGTGTGTGTGTGTGTGTGTGTGTGTGTGTGTGTGTGTGTGTGTGTGTGTGTGTGTGTGTGTGTGTGTGAGACCGGTGATCTGTCAGGCCCAACAGGTCATAGTACACCGGTGGTTAACTTTTCCCCCTGTAGCCCACTTTGTCTGGTTGCTCTATTGAATTAGACTGTTTATTTTGAAACCTGTTTTACGATGGTTGTTTGTTGGTAGGTTAGAGGGAAAATAATAGGCACGATTTAAGTAACTTAGGCTCTGTAGCTTTGAAAATACGAATCGATTGGACGAGAAAATTCAGTGGGGATATATTTTGACATCAATTCATGTCATTTTTGTGAAAACTTAGCAAGTTTCTGCCATTTTATAGACCACATTATTTGATCATTTATCGAGAAAATAATCATACAATACCATAAGATAATGTTTTATTGTTAAATGTTTCTTGCATCACAGCAGCTTCATTTGCAACATCAAGAAGGACACATAGGACAAGAGACAACGAGAGACACATACAGCAGATAATTCAATAAAGGAGCCTAAATATCTTTTATAATATTGTACCATTTTATAAATAAATCATCAGTGAAAATACAAAGGGAATTGATAAAACATGTGTAATTTCTAACTAATTATTGGGACTGAGAGAGAAGTAACAGATTAACCATTCTTTCTTATATATTCTCAAAAATTCACAAGTTCCAATTTATCAGTTTGGGGACTGGCTGCCTATTTTATGTAAAGGTAAACTGAATTTATTTGTGTTTTGGAGTGTTTGCTTTTGTCATTATTTTCTTTTGACTATTTATAGATCGAGTGATTCATGAATAAATTAGGGAAATAATACGTTTAAAGATAGTAATGCTGCCTTACACTGTATTGTGAAGCCTGTGGCTACACTGTGCCGTACTTGTATGTGTGTAGGAGTGCGTAGGGACAAAATAATAGATATGTTTGGTATTGTATTATGTAATGCAGTGCAAAACACTCGTAACACAATCATGGCCTCAACATGTACAGCCACAGTTGAACATGAGTGAAGGTAGTTATTGTTGCAGGGATGTTGTATTGGATTGCATTAGATTGGGCAGGTGACATATCACGTGTCATATCATATCTCTGCGTTTCTGTGACACCTAATATTGGGTTAGTGAGCCAGCAGCATGGTCACATAGCTTTATCCTCTAGAATGAATGTCATATTCCCTAAATATGTGTCCCACTCAGTAAATACCCTCTTAATCCTTAATTTGACTGTCATTTGCCTATTTTGAGGAAGTGAATATGTGCTTGAAACAGAAAGGCTTGTATTATGTCACTGTTAGGCTTAGGTGGAAGATCAGCTTGTCGATTAAATATTTGGGTCTCTGTTGTCTACAAATGAATCGCCCTGCTGTTCACCCCGCTTTCTACCCTTTATTTGTGACGCTGGTGGTTGCAGAAGGACAAAGATAGAGCCGTGACACCGACTCAGTGTGAGATGAAATAAAGTTAATCTCACCCTGTTAGATTTCAAGAAGATTATAGGATCATATGACCCCCCCCCCCGCCCACCTCCCCCTCTTACTCCACCTTCAAAAAGTCAAATGAGTGACAAAGCTTTATCAGAGGTTTATTTAAAAAAAAAATGGTTGCAGCGTGCTCTTCCTGAGGGAGCGGCAGCATCATTGTGCTAGCAGCGATGTCATTGGCTCGGGCAGATTGTGGTAGGTGACGATGACGATGGAGAGGATGTGTCAAAGCTTGTGGTCAAAGGTTCCTCAGTCTGGATGGAGCTTCAAGTCACGATGGACTGGAGAGAGGTTGCCATGGCAACCGCGAGCCTTTCTCCACTGCGCCTCTCTGGCTTGTGTTGTCTGCATTCCAGAGCTCAGAATGAGAGCATGAAACCAACTTTACACTGGCCTGTCTCATCCCCGAGGGAGACGATGTTTGTTTACAGTATGGTTAAGCTGCATCAAAATCCAGACATGAGGATGCAGTTAAAGCTGCTGCTATTCTTATTTTTGTATTGGTAATTGACCACATGACTTAGTGTACTCAAAGGGATTACTTGTTTTGATAATTATCATTGGACCTGTTGATGTATTGTGATTTTAAGGGTGTCCATTATCATCTGGCCAGGGACAACAGCTGGAAATTAGCAATGTTTGCTAAAGCTGCCCCATTTACTGTTTTTTGTGACAGTTGATCTATGGGGACTGTCCACGACACTATAAACAAATAAACTAAACTGAACTAAACCACAGTTCCCCACAGTATTTTTAGATTCGTAGTGTCTTTCAGCCCATTGTTTTGGTTTTCCAGCGCACAACTTTACTGTATTTGTTCCCCCTCATAGCTTTCATTTGTAATATCAGCAATTAAGCTTAGACCAAAAAGTGGCCAAAACATCAGTAATTGCAGGTTTAGTTCTTTTTTTAAATAAGGATTTACTGTAAAGGTGACCTACAGTATTATGCAAAATCCACTTTTTCATGTCTTTTATACATCAACATGTGTCCCCTCTGTGTAAAGAGATTCTGAAAGTTTCAGGAAAAAGGATTCACTCACTTTTTGTCCTGATCCATTTATATTAAAACCTGTCTGAAAATGAGCTGATCAGATTTTGGCCACTTTATGATGTCATAACGGTTTTTTTTGGCTTGTGTAACCATTAGCCAATCACCAACCAAGGTAACCCCCCCCCACCTTATCACCTGAATCTCCTCCTAGAGCACCATTGTGTTCTTTTTAACCAAATATCTGGGGAGTGGCTCCTTATTTTCATCTAGAGTAACAGACAGAGAATCAGCACTTTGGAAACAGGGCTGAAACAGAGGGGATTATGGGAAGCTACAATGCATGATCTGTTTGGTATTTCAGCCAAACATTTCAGAGACATGTTTTGTATATATCTAAGACCTATAATATATTGATGAAAAACAGTATTATAGGGGACCTTTAACACTTCAAGGTACAGCAGTTCCTGCTTTGGGCTCATACTGTAGACAAGTTTGCAACTAAATTCCTCATCTTTTTCCACATACTTGCGTTTGACACAATGGAGATAATGACAAAACAGCTTTATTATGACTCACATCTTTATTTGACACAATTATGTCTTTAATCAGCTAACTAATGTGGCTCGGTAATGTGTGTCAATTACAGCTTAAACAACATGTGTGTCCTAAATCTCCGAAATAGGTATATACTTATACTGTATGTATATGTTATATGGTGATTTCTGTTTGGATTGGACATGTTGTTTGACACCAATACAAAAAGATGTGAAATGGCAGATGTCCTTCTCAGTGTTACTTCCTCCCTCCTCATTATGTGAGGGAGGCAGTGACTCACTAAGATGCATCTGCTGTGGGTTTGTACTGTAGCTCCAAATATGTAGGCAGCCATTCTTCATGTCAAGACACTTGCTGATAACGGTTTCATAAACAGCGTGCAAGATTGTGTAGGCTGCCCTATTTTCTTGAAAAGCGCCATGTAGGCCATCGGATACCAGGGCAACATCCTTCTGTGCTGCTTCTGTCTCCTGACTTCAGAACAACGCCTCTCCCTTAAAGTGTGACAGGTAGATGAACAGTTGTTTCTTAATGTGTTTGGATGTGACTGTTAGGGAGGTTGTGTAAGGATGATTTCTGCCCTATTCGCAGTTTATTCTACATGTATAACATTAAACCGGTATCTTCTTTTGTGTCCTGGTTTGACATTGTTCTATTTTTACCGCCTATGATGCAGTACAAAGTGTCAGTACTGTAGGTTCAACCAATTTGTCTCTGCCTTGGACAATGACACACACAGAGCTTTCTTAAAATCATTACCCTTTTTTTGTCTTGTCTTTTTATAGCTATTTAGGGCATTTTCAAAATAGTGCTTGCTATAAGAACACTTCACCATTTGTTGCTCTCAGTTGTCTTCAGCTCTTTTCCCACAAAGTCTTTCAGATGAAAACAAAAACTCATGCCAGGCAGGCAGGCAGGCGGCTTTTAATGCTCGCAGCTAGCCAGCCTCCTCTGCAAAGTGAAGTACATCATGTCCCTTCACTTGAAAGACTCACTGATGTCTGATGTGGAACAATCAGCAAGGTCAGGCATTGTACTGTGTACCATGTAACATTTTTTTATGGTTTGCTGCTAGGAATCTCTGCCCTCCTTAAGCACCACATAGCCAAAGTATTTTAAAATACATACTTTTTAAACAACTATTGGATGACTGCGCGGCACAGCTTTGTTTTTCTGGTGTCCTAGGCACGCTTCATATTACTCCTAATGCTTCCAGTTCTGTATAATTTGGTGACACACCTCTCATTGAAATTTGACTTGCCAAATACCGCTCCACCCTAATGACCCTCACTGTTTAAAACAGCACTCAATGTAACACTTCTCAACAATAAATGTAATTGCTCTCTGTGTAATATGTTGGCTCTCCTTTGGCAAGGTTATGGTGTCTACTATAGAGGAGATACAGCATGAGAGAGATAGAGTAGAGACCGGTCTGCCTTGTGTTCCTGCCTGCTCACATTCTGCTGAGTCAGGAGGTTTTGTGGAAGTCAGTCAACAGCAACTCAGTGAGGCTACGAGCCAGAGGGGCTGGTGGGAAACTGCCACTACAGCAGTGGCCATGAATCTACTAGTTAAGACCTGCTTAGGGAAGAGTTAAAACAGCCTCCTGATTATTTTAATGATGTGGCAAAACCTTAGAGGTGATAGGAGAGGCCTTTTTTCTGCCTACATGCCCCAATGATTGTTGACGTTAGGAAGAGTCTAGTTTCACTTCATCAGGATATTCGTTCGCTTTGTTTACACTACATAAATACAGGCGTAGTGATAATAGAGATGTGTAAAGAGTGGAAGTGATAGGGGTTGTCTCAGTATTCTCATGGATTTAAGGAAATGTAGAAATGTGTTTCCAAAAACACAAGGGGAGGCAATATCTAAATACTTTTTTTTAGTGTAATATGTAGACTGTTTTTGTTGTGGTATATCAAGGAATATGGTAATGTGGCTGACTTGACAAAGTTGTCTGTTCAAAGCAAAATGTGTTAGTCTATATATGTAGTACTTCATGTGAAATAGAACTACATGCCCCCTGGTTTTCTTTATGCCAGTTAGATTGCAGCAATTTATTAAATGCAACCATATTTAGGAATTTGCCCCATGTGCTCAGTGGTAGCACTACTGTTGAAATCTGAGCCTTCTGTGAGGAGCTAACATGTTTTTTCTTTCCTGATTTTTTTTTTACTTTCACAGTTCAACGGCATGTAGGTTCAGGTTCAGGTTCAGGTCAGGTTCAGGTTCTTTATTTGTACCCGTAGGTAGATTTTGTTTGCAGAGAAAAAGACAAGGGATCCATCCTGATACACTCTAAAAACAAACACAAACAACAGACACATCTCTAATAAAAGGACTAGTAAAAAGTACAAGTACGCCATGCTCAGGTTAGGTTGAATGCTCTCTCTATTGGCGCGTTTCCACTACAGCGCGGAGCACGGTTTAAGAGGGCTGTGACGTCAGCGGCCCGTCTTTGGTTGCGTTTCCACTTGGCCTAGTACCGGCCGGCGGGTCCTAATTCACAGTTTTTCTGGCCTCATAAAATCGTGGGTCTAGGGCCAGAGACAACGAGGCTGAGTCGGGCTGAGTATGCTAAACTAGAGAGAGCATCGCTGGCAAGGGGGCTACAACTACAACAAGATGGACATATTTGACCGTGATTTAATTGTAATACACGTTTCAAAATGATGCCGAAGTAACAACATACTGATACCGGTTAGTAAAAACCATGAATTAATGCTTTGTCAAGTCTGCAGACAGACGGCAGGCGAAAAACCTTTTAAAATGCGTGTTTTCTAAATGGAGATTGGCTAAGCTAACGCAGTATATGCTCCGACCGTCCACACTCACAACAACGGCCTATACAGACATAAATAAAGCAGCGACTGTATTCGCCATGACACAGGCAGTCTGTGGTTTGTACTTGTTTAACTTTTGTCTAGTTTCTGAACATATATGAGGAGCTGTGAGCTCTGAGTGCTAACAGCTAACGGCTGTGTTGTTTTTCTGGGGTTCTCATTGAAGATGACGTCACGGCTCCGCCTACACTGCGTTACTATAGATACTACCCCAGTTCCTAAACTGTAATGGTAATGCGCCATAAAGTGAGCCAGTTCTAACGAGGCCTAGCCATACCGAGCGAGGCCGAGCGAGGCCGTGTAGTGGAAACGCGCCATATGTGGGCATACTTGCCAAACTTGAGACAACAAAAGTAGGGAGGATTTTGTAAAACAGTGCCAGTGGTTTGAAGGTCCTCCCCCCCCAAACAATTTGAGGAACTATGTTTCCTGCATTCTGGTAAATTCTAAATAATGAAACAAAATGATAAAAACATGGCAATCAAATGTTCACGTTAAATACTTTCTTTAATTCTTAGAATACAAAATAATTATATATTTTACAGACGTCTAAAAATAGCTTGAGTATTTATGAGTACTCTCTCTTCTCTCTTTCTCTCTCTGTCTCCCACTCACTGAGGAGGATGAGGCGCAAGCAGCTCTCATAAATTAAGCTGTTTTTTGTCTGGCTGGAAACACTTGTCTTATGTCCAACTACCTACAAAATAATATGATCTTTTTTATCTTTTCATGCATATTTCAAGCTTGTGACTTCTACCAAAGCGCAAAAATAACAGATCCTAGATTTTTTGACCCATTTTGGATTGTTCCATTTCTATAGAAACATTTTAGCTAGCGTTAAATGGGTAAGGAATGTACATCTTTGCCTTGTATTCTTTGGGAGAACGCCTGACTGGACTGAGGGGTGCTAACTCAGATGTTCTGTTCTTAATATACACATAATAGTGCACATATATATATAGACTGGAAAAAAATCTGGAAAAGCACCAGAATTAATATATCCAAAATAATAAGCACCCTAAACCTGGACATGTCCTGGAGTTGCAATGACAATCTTGACATTTCCTTGCGGAGTAAGATATGAGTCTGTTTGGTTTCAAGCTAAAACATGTCAGTGCCATCTACGCTAAAAGGAAATCTGATGTTCTTGTGAAACCATCCTATGAATTTGCAGTCTGAAATGCATTATCACTGTAGCAACTCCCGGCACTCTAGTATGATGTCATCGCAGATTACAGTCTGGGCTCAGTGGATTGTAGCCTTGAGAGTCACACACGCTGCATCCCCAAGTGGGGTTGTCGTCTGGCGAATTCATTGCATCGGACTCTTCCTCCCATCCTCCCATATTCTCTAACGCCCACCCTCCCTCACTCTCTCCTCTCCTTCCTACTTGTCTCTGTACAGCGCGCTGTTGCAGTCAGGCAGCATCATGGAGGCAGGATGTGTGGTTGCCGCGGTGATTGAGAATGCTGCCTCAGGACCCCAGGGTGAACCAGGAAGTGGTGACGTCCTTGAAGGGTGAGTAGCTGCGTTTCATACCCTAACATTGGTCTGCAACCTTTTTGACCAAAAGAGCCATTTTGTCCCCTTTTCCACCAATGTTTTTAGTCTGGAGCTGAAAAACATATTTGATAGCTTGATAGCCTATAACGTTGTATATATTGTTATATCATAGACAAAAACTACAGTTTGTTTGCATGTATTATTTATTACATTATAGAAAACTGTTTACCTCTAATAATAAACAAATAACTTGTATAAGGAGAATTAAACAAAATACACAGGCCTACTTTAAAATAAATAAAACCTATAGCTGCACCCTAAAAATAGTTGTGATTGAATTATGACTGAACATCGTTAGCTGTCTTCCTCTTCCGTGTTTTTCCTCCAATACGTAAAGGCTGCAGCACCTTTGACAACTTCTCTCCACATATCAAACATACCGGTAAGCCAGCATCATTTGCTGTGAAAGCAGATAACTCTAATCACGCAGAATTAAACCCTGTGTTCCTCCGATACTTTTATTTTCTTTGATTCATCCATAGTTCGCTCATCGAGCCGGGGGTCAGGTTATTCACCTGCAAGAAAAGGCGCTGGTGCGGGACCGTCACAGGATATGACGCATATTTTAGTTGACTTAATTAAAACCGTTATTTTATTTTTTTATGTGTCACAGTATCACCTCAAAATACAAGATACGAAACATTTTCAACAGTGCAACAAAATATAAATAGTCCTACAAATATTTGTATTTTATTTCCTTCTTATTTTTGTCTAAGCTCAAGGGAGCCAGAGTAGAGGGCTTAAAGAGCCGCAGGTTGCAGACCCCTGCCCTAACAGATATATATTTAAAACCATGAAGTGCATGTTTGTGTGAGTGTTTTTGCCTTTGAATGAGATGAATACAAGTAGGAGCAGTCTGATGAGCCTTAAACCTGACCCTGTTTTAGTAAAACAGAAAGGGAGGAAAACTGTGTGTGTCTAACGTTACATTACGTCCAAAGCTTACTGCATTACCTATTATTTTAAATTGAAACTCTGTTATTAGCTCTGTCACTGTGGATTTCATAAATGACACAGTGTCTCATGTTCTGATCTCATCACACTGAATCACTGTGACTAATCCAAGGCCTGTCTCTTTTCCCTCTTGGTTGCTCATAAAAGTTTAGCTAAATGAACCTTACCCTCCTATCCTGTATGCATTGAGTCACATTTCAAATGAAGTTTTTGTGTAGCACTCCCTTGTGGGTGGATTGCCTTTATGGCTCTCTGAATAGATGAATAGATGAGCTTTTCTTTTTTTGAGCGAATACAAAAGACACCAAGGCTTTCTGTTGACCCTTCAGTAGTGAGAGATGCCACACATTTCCCTCTGTATTAAGGAACTGTTCCCATCTAGATCTGATTGTAAAGAATGTACTGTGTTTTATAGGTGTCTTTTTCTCTCAGTATTAAAGGTTCATATGTCACCAACGACCTAATACAACATGTTGTTTTGGCCATGCCTGTGCGATGTCATGATTTGAGCACTGGCCAGAGATTTTGAAATCATCTCCCCTCACTTGCGCCCTCTGGTGTATTTATTTAAAAACTGCAAATCTTATATGAAGATCCCAGAGTACATGGATGTTAGCATTACGTCATGCCACCTTTCTTGTTTGAACTATTGTATGTTTCTGCAGAGACGGCCTACCGTCTGCTGACCAGGACAAAGATGATGCCTTACCTAAAGCCACCGACAATAATCCTCCAGAGGAGAAACAGCCACAAGAGACATCCACTGCCATGGTACACACACGCATGCGCGTACACACACACACACACACACACACACACACACACACACACACACACACACACACACACACACACACACACACACACACACACGACTCATCAGACACACATTCACCCTTGATCTATTTCCTTGAAGCTGTGTAATTTGTGTAGGTGATTCACACCATGATGTTACTTACAGTTGGTCACATGGCACTCATGTGAGAGTCAGTAGTCACATTTATGAGGGTGAAAACAGGTGTAACATTAAAGGATGTCCCACCTTCAGGTTGAGGCCCCGGCTCCACGAGGACAAATACGGCAAAACGCATCGGAGTAACGCAAACGCAACCGCAAAAAACCTTCCGACCACACGCAATATACACCGGATTGTGTCAAGCTCCACGAGACGGCTCCGTTTACATCCAACCGCTGGAAAAGCTGCAGTACATATGCCGAACCTGTACGTGGCGCTGTAACTTCCTCCACAAAAGCAGCAACTTCCTCCACAAAAGCAGCGAAGAAGAATGGTTGTCATGGCTGCACTTCTGTTTATTCTCCGCGGTGGGGGCGGAGGGAACCGCGCAGAGTTTTTCGCCGGTCAATGTGTGTTAAAGTTGAAATCTTCATGCTTCCTCATGCAGCAGCTGATCCAGTAAGTAAACCCGACAGTAAAAATAAACATATTTATAACTAGTTTAGGTAGTTTGAGGTAATTAAAATAGCTAAGGGTGGTGATCTGACTTGAAGTGTGTGTTTTGCTCCCGCTGCTTCACAGCCGGAGGAGCTGCGTGTCTCCGTCCTGTCAGATTAGACTTCACTCGCGTTTATGTTCATATCGAGATAAAGATAAATAATCTGAATTCAGTGTGCAGTGTACTTTTGCAGAGGCGGGGCTATGAAACGCATGACCGTATAGGCGACCCCACGGCCCCGTTGGACCCCCCAGAGCGCTCCGTTCCCAGATCTATCCACCTTTGGACCCGTTGTCGTTTGCGGGGTCTGTTTCTACGTTTCCGTTACGGCGTCGTCGAGCTTAAAGGGCTATACGCATGAGAAATATGCGGATTCAACCCGTTTTCGTCCTCGTGGAGCCTACGCCTGAGATGGAGGTGATGTTTAGGAGAAGTGCTAAAGGCAAATACGATATGAAAATATTATAACAGACCAGTCATATCATCTCCCCTTCCCTTCAGTTCACTTCTCGTTACTCCAGTTTAATGTTAATATCCTGCACAGCGCTCTTTCTTTATATCTTCTTCTCTGCAAAGGCATTACCCTCCAGCTTTTAGAATTCAAGTCTCTTGGACGAGTGTACGTTCAGCACACCAGATATTAGTTTTTATGCATGTACGCTTTAATTTTCTAATTATATATCATCCTCCCCATCCATCAAAAACAGTCAAAACTAAAAACAGTAAAAAACAAAACACAACAATAAATAATATTTATACAGTTATAATTGAATCATGTATATTATTAATTAATAATAACATTATTACAATTTCTATCGAATAATGACCTGCCCTTATATACTATAACATTGCATAATAGAGCATGAATAATATCTAACATAACATGTATACCATAATAATAATAGCTTTACAATCCAGTATGACATAAGCATGAAATAGCCCAACATAAATTATCATGGCATTAATATATTAGAATAATGGAAACAAATATATTGAACAGTTGCATTGCTTAGCATAACTCAAAATGAGTATACAAAAGCAAAAAATTGCATTAAACCAATAGCATAATATGAAAAAAACCTAGCATAATATTAGCGTAACATAAAAGCGTAGCTTACATTATAGTTGCAATGGATGACGTAAACAAACACAAGTACAACATTTTATTACAGCTTAACTAAGCAAAAGATAGCATTAGCATAACATGGTAAGAAGGTAACATAAGCATAATAGCATTAGCATCACAAAGGCAAAGATGTACAACTCATTTACACATGTTGTTTTGTCATGTCAGGCTTCTAAGTTTGTGTTTTTTATGCAGCACAACATATGTTTCAAAGTGATCAACATCATCAGTTGTGACTACCCATCTCCATCATGTTTGACGTGTTCTCTCTCTGTTTGGCAGGTGAGGACTGATGACATCAAAGAGCACCCAGCCGAGCCCCTCCTGCGCTCCTGTGTTAGCACAGCTAGCATGAAGGTCAAGAACATGAAGAAGTAGGTGCTCCCTGTGACAGTGTCGAAGCTATTATGGGCTGTAAAACAGGGCTGTTATCCAGGCCAGTGAAATGAGGACCTAATAAATGACGGGCGCGGCAGAGACAGACGAGTCAGCCCGCTGCCTCTCTAACCCTGTTCCCTCACACATTGGCCTAATCTCTCTTTCTTCTCCCTCTTTTGCTTAGCTTAGCTTTTCTCTCCACCATGGTGTCACTGTGTTGAATACTGATGAGGGACTGTTGTGCTGTGTGTTTTTAGGCTTACGTTCCCCAGAGGTCACTTCCCCACATTGGCAGAGTGTGCTCATTTCCACTATGAGACTGTTGACTTTGGCAACATTCAGGTGAGAAAAAATACTTACACTGTGACTTCTTCAGCAGAGAATTACTTTGTTTAGTCATTGAGTTTTTGGCCCAAGTACAGTGGCCACTTTGGTGAATTGCTCCTGAAATGCATCACTCTTGAAATGCAATGTGGCAGTCAAATCAATATGCCTGTTTCTCTTTTCTCAGACCCTGTTTATTGCATTTTCCTTATTTGTCCTTATCACAGCTTAGTTTGTCAGTTTAATCAGGAGATCTATGACATATTCATTTGTCAAGAATAATACCCAATCATGGATAAATCATTATGTTTTCAATGTGACAGACGTAATAAGTCCCATTCCTATTAAAGCCATGATCAGCGTGTTAATCCTTCGCATTACAGTATATTAATGTCAGACTCGTCAGACCTGTAAACCTGGGATCCAGCCTTATTAGTCTGACTCAACATGACATCATATTTAGTCATGATGTCAGCTGGAGACGATGACTCATTTTGAAAATCAAAACATGTTCGGGTAACACCAAAAGGATTGTGAGAATGTGTTCTTACACTTACATGCAGTTGGAGGTAAATTCGACATTCAAAACTACTTGCATAATACTGTATGCAAACTTTTTGGGGATATTTTAGCTCTGAAAGAGACAGAGCTCTGGGAATGTCAATGCCACTCTGTCTGTGTGTGATTTGGTCCTACACTATTGTGCACTTGGAAATATCCCAACAACCATTGGATAGATACCAGAAGATGAATACTAATGATTGTGAAGATCCACTGGCTGTTCCTTTAGCTCCACCATGAGGTGTGGTTCATAGTCAAATGTGTCCATAACTATTTGATTGGATTGTCATGAAGTTTGGTTACAGATGTTCTCCTCTGGATGAGTTGTGTTAATTTTTTTGAAGAGAGCTGTAAAACAAGAAACAGTCCAATCACCCTTTAGCTGTATTTGTGGTGTTATTAGCAACTGTTAGCACACATCCATGCCAAACTAAGTTGGTAAACATGGGTAACATCATACCTGCTAAACACCAGCATGGCAGTCATTGTTAGCATGTTAGCATACTGAATTAGCATTTATCACAGTGCCATTAGCATGGTTGCCGAGTTTTTATCTGTTTTTTTTTTGTTTTAACTCTAGTAAATTGAGAAAAAACTACACAAGCAAAATGTTTTTGTGTTCATGCACTTAATGTATTATGGATATAACCAGGGGTGCACATAACTTTTTGAGTGAGTTACTCAGATGAGTACCAGGAGACAGCGTTTGGTACTCACCCCACACGAAGTGTGGTGTTAATAAGTGCAGTCTTCCTCACTGTCCTCTAGTTCCTCTTCTTGCACGGTAGATGATGAAGATGCTGCAGATGCACCTCTCTGTCCCTGTTTAAGCCTCCAATTTGCTTTCTCCAACACTTGTTGCCAAAACTGTGAAGTCCTTGCATTTCCTGAGGCCAAGTTGAAGGATCAAATACTAAGAAATGATCACATGACTTGAAATCATATCTGATTTCAGATGTGGGAAGTAACTAAGTACACTTATTCAAGTACTGCACTTAAGTACAATTTTGAGATTCTTGTACAAATTTACTTGAGTATTTCTATTTCATGCTACTTAGTACTTCTACTCCACTACAGTTCAGAGGTAAATGGTGTACTTTTACTCCACTACATTTATTTAATACCTTTAGTTACTTTACAGATTTGGATTAATTATGTAAAATATAATCAACTCTTAAATCAGACTTTAGTTCCACCTGGAGTAAATTCACAAGCTACCCTGCAGTATACAAAGTCATTAAAACTAGCTGCACCTTTACCAGCTTTTTGATAACACTTAATGATTCAATAATTATAAAACATATCATATATATTATTCTGAAGTGGACCAATCTGCACAATGACTACTTTTACTTTTGGTACTTTAACTATATTTTGATGATAATACTTTCTACTTTTACTTGAGTAACATTATGAATTCCTACACAAGAGCTGAGTACTTCTTCCACCTCTGTCTGATTTCAAACTCTTCCATTAACACCCTAAGTTTGCACCTGTGTGATTGGTTTTGCTCCACCTTGTTGTAAATAAAACTGCAGCAGCTTGACCACAGAGCGTGAACGTTGTGATCAGCTGATTTTGCGCAGTTCTCCAGTGTGTGCGCGGGGCACAGAATGTGCACAGGGGAGTCTCCCACTGCAGCCAGTTGGCGGAGTTTTGGCACAATTCTGTTGTTCATACATACCGACGTTAACAACAACCCCGTCTGTGCACACAGTGAACAACTCTGTTGTCCGGTGATCTAAGCCTCTGCCTCCTGTAAAGCTTCACAGGTCCGTCGGTTATGGCCTGCGCGGCTCAGCTCAATTTAATCAGTCCAATAAAGTCCGGAGATTTTTTGCAGGGAGCAAAACGCCAAAGTGGCTGCCTAATGTATTTTGGTGTTTTTGACATGTCTAGTAGTTTTCTCCATTGAGTGTTGACAAGAAACACGTGTAGACGAAATATGTGTTCTGTTTTGATGACCTATCAGGTACTCAAAGGCGCGCAGTGACAAAAGTGACGTTACGCATTTCAGATTTTTGCCGCGCATGCCTACCTGCGTACCAGTTATGTGCACCCCTGGATATAACTACTCTCACCAGCCAACACATGATTTGGACTTGTAGTCTAAGAACAATATTTAAGTTTATTAGACACAGTGAAGCACTAGTAGTTGTTCACTTGTGTGTGTGGAAGTGGCTGTTAATGCCTGGTTAAACGTCAGTGCTGTTCAGGTTGGTTGCCAGCAGAGTGCAGCAGTAGTCTCTCTAAAAAAACAAAAGCTGCCAATGGAGATTAACACAGAAAGAGAGCATGAGCAGTGCATGCACGCAGAGGGGCTGAAACCCCACATGCAGGGTTAATGGACAGTGTGGTGGACTGGATGGGTCTTAAGTCCCGGGAAGCTCTCTCTGTCTCTGTTGTGTAAACGTCCTGCTGTGGTTGCCATGCCATGATGTGATGGCTCCATCAGCAGAGTAGAGGCTAGTAAAGCAGCACCACAGTTTCAGTGACCTTGAAAAGATCCACAGGGAGAAGAGAAGCCGAGCTGGAAGAGAAATATTAGTCTGGGGACTCACTGACACTGAGAGCTGTCTGCACACACATTTACTCAGTGGACTCTGCGATCACATCTATCTCTGTTATTATTGTTAAATGTTTCTACTTGGTCTAAGCAAGGGATGAGTTATTTTTTCTTGTTGCATATCCCATGCTGCATTTGCCTGCATCTGGGTTCACAGACTGTGGCGGAAGAAAGGGAGGGTAGTGATCAGTCTCATGTTTCTTAATCGCAGAGTAGCACAAGGACAGCAGAATGCCTCCCGACTGATTTCTCTCCAGATTAGCCCCAGTCTCGCCTTGAGAGTGGAATGAATGATTTGAAATGAAAGAGGGTTGTCTATCTATCCCGTGCAGCTTCCCCTCCCTATGATGGACGAGCATGTGCATTTATGTGTGCCGGTCAAGCCCATTTAACGCCACCCCCCCCCCCCCCCCCCCCCCTTTGTCACTGGAGAGACGAGACTGGTTAGAGAGGGGGGAGGGCGACGGAGGCAGAGTACAGGAGAGGGAGGAGGGGGAAGAGATGGAAAGAGGGAGGCAAGAAAGGGGGTAAGACACACTGTGGCAAGCATCCTCTTTTAAATATGTTCTGCTTTGAATAGAGCAGTAAGCGCATGGTGATCCAACGCTCTGTGAATGAGCAATTTAAGGTGGCAGGGGACGGCACACAGGCGAGTAAGGAGCAGCATTTAAACTCTGCTGCCCCTCAGCCAACATTTCTGTTGTTGGAGGAGCTCACTGAGGTCCAGGACTGCGGCTGCACACAAAGAGAGAGACACTTCCTCCAGCCGCGGATGGATATCTGAGATGCCTTAGTGGCAGGTAACCCAAACGTTGGGGATTTGTGTGTATTAATTTGTCCTTCTGGGGCCAGATTTTATGTAAATATATGAGCTAATGCAGGCACCGGCTGATATCTGAGCTGTGTTAGCATGTCTTATTTTGAAAGGTGTACTCTTGAAAGTGTGCACAGAGGAAGTGATGCTCAGCATGCTTTCAGTGAAAACTTTCCGATTTTTGCTTTTATTATTTTCATTTGTACCAAGCTAATGTTTTTTTTCTATGCAAAAAGGATCTTTGCTGATCTGTAGTTCTCTGTGTGATCCTGCTACCCATCATGCCTTTGCCCTCCTGACCCCCTTCAGTACTTAATTCAAGCGCTTAGCTCATGCTATCATTTTATACAAATCCTTGCAGTGAATTAGAGCTCTTCCAACATGACCTTTTCTAGAACAAATGTCTCATTCTGTGTTTGTCAGTCTGGTTTGCTGTATTACTGTTGAGCAGTAACTAGGTCGCTGTGTGTTGTGTAACAGACTATGTGGATGAGTTTCTTACAGTTATAAATAACCAAAACTTCCCTTAGCTTCCAAGGCCTTTGAAATGTAATGTCTATCAATTTATTCCCAAACTCCTGCAAGGCTTTGATCTTCTCAATTTTGGGTCATATATAGACTATAGAAATCTGTGCTAAATCTACACTGCCACCCAGCGCTGATGTTTAGCTAGCACTTTATGCATTATATATGTCATACTGCAGGATCTTTGATGAGGTGATAATATAAATCATAGCTATGTTGGTTGCAGATGAAATACCAGAATATTTCCCAAATAAACGCTATCATGAAGGCTGGCACATTCATGATATTTTAAACAAAAACAATCAATGTTCTTTTTTCAGGCATTACTTCCCGTAGTTCTTTATTACTCTAGTTGTCCTGCTCAGTATAAAAGTGTTTTTACTATTTAATGGAAAATGGGGTTTGGACACGGTGTTCCTCTTGTATAGCAGGTCACATGCTAAGAGGTTGTTGTATTATAAGCATCCATTATTTAAAGTGTAGGCCCTCTCACTACTGACGCCTCTGTCTCTCTTTTTTTTCTCCGGTCCCAGTTGGCCTTCGCAGAGGGGCAGATTGAAGGACCGAAGGCTGGTCAGGACTCCAAAGAGCCTGTGTTTCTGGTCCAGGTCACTTGCCAGGTAGTATTATATACTGCATTTGAATTATAGACTCCAACAGAGACACTCAACTTGCTCTGTCTGGTGGGGCCTTTTTGCAAACGTCAGGAAGTCAGGGGCCAGTTGTCAAACAAACAAATAAAGATAAAATAAATAAACATTTTAAGGCCCATCTTTCCTTAAATCTTTATTTTAATATTAACTCACTTAATAACTTAACATAAAACTTGGTACAACTATTGACACTTGGCCTGTATGACAGTCCAGCCAGATATTTTACAGCAGAAAACTACTGCAGCTCGGTTAAAGCTTATTGTTTTGCAATCTGGAAACTTTATTTACATTTACAGTAATAACAACAAATCCCATGGGAATCAATTTATTTTGATGTGAATTTGAAAAACTTTTGGAATGCACCCTATTGAGAGGACAAGTTTAGTATCACTGGACTAATATTGGAAAATAACTGAAACTAGCTTTCTCCACTCAATCTGACAACAGTTTATTTTTGTCTCTGTTTGTCAGGGTCGTAACTGGCTGGTAACCAGGTCCTATGAAGACTTTCGGGTGCTGGACAAACATCTGCACTTGTGTATCTATGATCGGCGTTACTCCCAGCTCACAGAGCTGCCACGATACGACACATTAAAGGAAACTGTTGAGGTATCACAGAGTTTAACTCCAGTATCTCTGATCTCTCATGAAATTAGTCTGTTCTGTTGCATGAAGTGTGGAAAATTGCTCTTAAATTGCCAGACTTTTATTAAATCTTGATAATCTTGTGTCTTTATTCAGTCTGTAACCAAGATGCTGGCCACCTACCTGTCCAGATTCTCCGCCATTGCTGACAACAAGATCAACTGTGGACCAGTGCTAACATGGATGGAGGTATCTTCTTATCAGCTGTTTGCTCTTCCTATCAGTTATTCACTCTCTACATTATAACCCCATTAAGTGACATCAATATTTAATATTTACTTTAATATTTAAACAGATTGGTTAAAGCAACATTTGCACATGTTTGGGAAGAAAGTTGTTTGCCCATTTTCAGCTGGTAAAATAGTGTAAGAATTTCAGGGGCTATGTAAAGGAAATTATCAAAGAGTGAAGGACTTGACTTTACTACTGAAAGGAGCCCTATTATGCTTTTGGGTTTTTCCCTTTCCTGTAATAATATGTTTTATAGGTTTGTGTGCATGTAAATGAGCTCAAAAACTAAGTGTAAAACACGTAGTCATAGGTGGAAGGAAGTTGGCTTGAAAGGTGCCATGTGATATGCTGTGATGCGATTTATACAATTTGACTAGAATGTGAATTTGTTTGTCTGTTCTTTGGGGACATTACTGCTGCATCAGTGTTTTTTACTTACAAAATCCAACACAATATGATTGTATGATGGGCTAGGCAAGCCAGAAGTAAGTACCAGGTAAAATACACCAAAAGAAAACATACTTCTGTAAAATATACTTTTGCTACACGTGATACTTACAGTATATCCCTCCTTCCATTAAAATAGAGCAAGAGCAGCCACTTCTCCCTCCGCTAAGTTTGGCCAACATGTCTAACTCTTGAAAAAAATGTATTACTTTAAATATTGCTTATGTTGTTTTTTACAGATCGAAAACAAGGGGAACCATTTGTTAGTGTCTGAAGAAGCCTCAATCAATGTCCCTGCCATCGCTGCCGCCCACGTCACCAAACGCTACACCGCCCAGGCCACGGACGAGTTGACCTTTGAGGTAACCTCTCTTATATAAAACAACATAATCTTGCATTAATCAATCATTTTTTCATCTTCGAGCATACATATTTTTACTAGATGTTTTGCTTTCAGTATGTATATGTCTGATCCTGATGTGCTCAGCTGTGATCACACTTTATTCTCATCACCAAACTCTTTGTGACCCAGGTGGGGGACATTGTGTCTGTCATAGATATGCCTCCCAAAGAAGACACAGGCTGGTGGAGAGGGAAACATGGATTCCAGGTAAATCATCTGCTGTGCTGCATTCACAATTAGGTTTTATGAGTGCATTGAGAGAACAACTTTTTCTGCTCTTCCTGTGATGAAACCATAGTGATTAAAGTCACAGTGAAACAGAGATCGGGCATCTTAAGCCTCACTTGTGACGTGTTTCCCAATGAATCAATGTGTGGATGGGCTTTGGGTATGAGAGGGGTTGATTGAAATCCTATAGATTGGATTGGAATGGTAATATGGGGGCAAATACAGCCTGATGGGAAACTTTATAGAAAAATTGAGCTAAGGATCTGCTAAAAGCTGTTGGCCTTTACACCTCCCTGATCCCCTGTTGTTAGATAAGGAGGAAGAGGAGGATTAAGCTGACATATTAGATCTGAATTATTAAGCATCAGCTTATGGTCAAGTTATTTCATATATTATAGGCAGGGTAAGCTAGTAGCATACATTTATGTGACCACCCCCTGAGATGCTTTGAACAATAGGAACGTAAACCAGTTGTTCTCAGCCTGAGGCCACTTGTACCCTCATGCCTACTGACCTATTTCAAAACCTTCACCCTGCTACAGTCTGCCTCAGCACCAAACACCCCCACTGGTCCTTTTAAATGTATAGTTTCTCCCCAGCTCTGCCTCCTGTCTTTACCCTGCTTATCCCCTTCTCTCTACCTGCAGGTTGGTTTCTTCCCCTGCGACTGTGTGGAGCTGATAAATGACAAGATTCCCCCCGGTGTTCAAAGCTCCGTGCCGAAGCCAGGTACTCTTCACTGTGTGTCCCACCCTCTGTATGATGATTTATTCAACACTTGCATTGAGGATGTGAGACAGATTGATTTAAAGTGGCTGTTATATGTTTATGTGTCTTCTTAATCAGTGTGTAAGAAGCATGGGAAGCTGGTCACGTTTCTGAGGACTTTTATGAAGTCTCGCCCGCCGCCCCAGAAGCTGCGGCAGCGCGGTATCCTCAGAGAGAGAGTGTTCGGCTGCGACCTGGGGGAATATCTCCACAACTCCGGACATGAGGGTAAATTATTCCTACAATGGCTCCTCTTTTCCCCTCTACTCTATCGTGTAATTCTTACCTGCCGGCAGTTCACACTCGTAAATATCCGGAGAAGGGATTACCCAGTGAGTCTGCTGCCTGTATAAGGGATTTGTGATACATTGCTGGGATGTTTGATGTGAAATGAGTCGGTGGTGGGAAAAACCTGCCAGCAAGAGGTGCTGTTTTTTGCATAGATTCTTGTAGATTGGCCAAAAGCTGTGTCATTATCTCTGTATTTTCAAACCTCTGTTGAACTGCCTGTTAGAGCAGAAGCCCCCGTCAAGTTCAACCATTAATGTTGTCATGATAAACAGAATATTGGATTAAAGCTACATGCGTTCCTCTGACACTTTCATACAACATGCAGCAACATTCTCATTTCTCTCATATTTTCACCCTTCTTCCTGTTAAGAGGAAAAATAAGGTAAATCAACTCTAGATGCAACAAGTTCTTAACTATCAAAGTTTTCTTTTACCCAGGTGTATTGAATGATGAATTCATTTTAACATTGGTTCATGTTGCAGCCTCATGACTCTCTTCTGTCTCCTGTAGTCCCGCAGGTGGTGAAGAGCTGTGCTGAATTCATAGAGAAACATGGAGTCGTGGATGGAATCTACAGACTGTCTGGGATCTCCTCCAACATCCAGAAACTGAGGTTGGTCCCCATTTTGTACTTTGTATTGATTAGAAATTGTACCCAGATGTGCAGAAGGTATCAATAAAATAGTGTTAACTTCTGCAAGTTTACAATCAACATGAAAGACACCGTTTTCCAAGTGTTGTTTTGGAGTTGCTTGTTCTAAAATACAATTTGATTCAAGTTGTGCAGCTTTGAAGGTTGAAATGATTTTCTCATTTATTTTATGTTTGCCAGAAGGAATTCATGAAACCAACTCTCATTGATCAAATGGGAGGCTCGAAAACGAGTGTGGTGTTGACAGCCAATCAAGGGAATTTTCTCACCAAAAACATTGCTTCAGTTGACAGTTTACACGTTTTTAAGGGTATTCAAGGAAGTGGTTTCTTACATGCTCCGCCTCAGTGTTACATTTACTTTATGTTTTGTTTGTGGAGTAAACATCCCAACATTTGGGCAACATCAAATTGAGCTGGTGAATATCAGAAACAGTTTGTGCTTGAACATCTCAAGCACAAACCTTGTCGAAAGTAGCTGATATTATTTATTTTGTTTTTGTGCTTTCATACTGACAGATGGTCACTGAGATGACTCCCACGCTGTCCTATGTATTACTTTTCTTTCTGTCTCTGTCTAGGCATGAGTTTGACTCAGAACAGATCCCAGACCTGAGCAAGGAAGCCTACAGGCAGGATATTCACTCAGTGGGTTCCCTCTGCAAGCTGTACTTCAGAGAGCTGCCCAACCCTCTGCTCACCTACCAGCTCTACGAAAGATTCTCAGTAAGGCCCAGAGCTGTGAAACTGGGGCAGGGATTTATGCTTGGGATAGATATGACAATGGAAGGAGAGAAAAAGCTGCTGGGGACAGATTTCCAGTTACTCAGTTATGATCAAAGAGCCGGAGAAACAATGAAACATTTTTCGTTTCAGTTTGAAGTGCTGCTAAAAATGGGGTCATTGCATTATGCTTAGCTTTCTAGGAACAGCAGGGGATGTGCATGTTAAAACAGAATAGTAGATAAAATGAGGCCAAACAATGGCTGCTCTGAATATAAAAGGGAAAACCAGTGTGGGACTGTTAGAGCAGCTCCCTCTCCTGTGATTATCAGCCTCATTGATGTGCGTTTTTTCTTCACAGGAGGCCGTGTCTGCAGCCACAGATGAAGAGAGGCTGGTCAAAATCCACAATGTCATCCAGCAGCTGCCTCCTCCTCACTACAGGTCAGGTTTGAAGCTCACAGATGCACCCTGGTGGCCTGAAGTGTTATTGTATGTTTTGGTACAGCGTTCCCTTTTTTAGAACTGTCAATGCTGTGATGCACATTTAAATTGTGTTGATCTGCCACTCAAACAGTTTCTTTTTATGTCTGAACCAAATCAAATATTCCGCTCAGAGATGTGAAAGTTGGCTTTGAATAAATATAATGCAAGTCTGATCAGTCCAGCATGACATCCCTGCTGTGCATTGGCATTACTTAAAAAGTATTTTTATCCTGCTTATTATAAGATGCACTAAACTTAACCTGCTGATGCTAAGCAGGATAACAGTGTTAATGATGGTTTATTGTATTTTAATTGTAAAACTGTATTATTTGTTTACTCTTTTCTTATCAACCCTTATTTTCTAGTCCTTAAGTTTTGTATATTTATTCTATCTTAATGATTTCGTTTTTTATTCCAGGCTGTTTTATTTGTATTTTTACTTAACTTGTGTGCATTGTTCATTTTATTATTGTCCACCCTTGTTCCTATTTGTAGTTTGTCAGGCATCTGTAAAGCACTTAAAATATATGATGGGGGCTATGGATTGATTTACCCTATGACCCAAATATGAACATTTGCATTGTATTGCCTACAGGACTCTGGAGTACCTTATGCGACACCTCTCCCGCTTGGCAACATTCAGCCCCATCACCAACATGCACACTAAAAACCTGGCTATTGTCTGGGCGCCTAACCTTCTCAGGTGACTTTTGAACTATTATTCCAGATAAATGGCTGCATGCAAACTGTTAAACTGGCTCTGATCACGCCCAGAGTGCCGTTTAATTCTCATGTTTCTGTGACAGTAAACTGGGGCATGTCTCCAATGGTCCAGAGCTGTGAAATAGGTTGTCATGTTCTGTCACTGTGTTTTAGGTCCAAACAGATCGAGTCTGCCTGTTTTAGCGGCACAGCTGCGTTCATGGAGGTGCGAATCCAATCTGTTGTGGTGGAGTTCATTCTCAACAACACTGAGGCTCTCTTCAGCGCTAAACTCAACTCCATCATACGTGAAAGCACAGGTAGGGCAAATCAGAAACAAAGTGACATGTGGCGTCTGTTCTGAGGTTAAAAGTTCCTCTGACACACTTTAAACACCTTTTCTTTCAGGTAACAACACTTTAGCCAGACCCAAGTCCCTGATGGTATGCTCCCCATCCACAAAGCTACTGTCTCTGGAGGAGGCCCAGGCTCGCAATCAGTCACAGCTGGGGTCCCCGGCCACCACCCCCTCCCTCAGCCAGAGTGACTACATCGAGGTCGGGGAGGGACCCGGAGCTCTGCTCGGCAAGTTCCACACAGTCATCGACCTCCCGATGGAGAGGTAATCAATGACACGCCTGAACCGTCCCCCCTTTTTATTGATCATATCAATTATTCTGCTACACGAGCATGAGTAAACATCATTTGTGATTTTAATTGTTTATGGTGATGTTTGGTGTAGAGCATGTGACTGGATGCTTAATTAGTCAATGAATCGATTAGTACATCAGGTAAACCTGTAAAGATTTCTGTTTAACTTTATTAATCATGTAAGTCATTGCTTAAGCAAAAGCCCATGCACAAGACCAATGTTGTGTTTTTGCTGCTTTTATCTGTTTTTCAAATGGTGTGTATAATTTACAGTATTTGAAGATGCGTACAAATTAATTGTTAGAATGAGCACCTAATGTTTAGTGTTTTTAGATTGTCGTTATTCATGGATGTGTGTAAGGTTGCACTCTTTCAGACAAAACGGCAAGTGTTGAAGATGATTTTCTTTGTGTGTAGCTTCAAGCGACCTCCTGTTAAGGCTAAGAAGTCTCCTGTGGGGAACTGGCTTTCATTTTTCCACCTGGGCAAGTCCCACTCTGTGTCCAAACGTAAACTGAAGCGACACCCCAGCGAGCCTAACGAGATAAAGAGCCTTGCACTGCCAGGTTAGTTACCCCTCCCTGTACCAAGTTAATCTTGACACTTTAATGTGTTGAAAATGTTATTTTTAGAGCTGGTAAGTATTCATTTGTATTGCTCTGATACATTTGTAGGTGGAAGAGGAGACTGCGGCACATTGCGCTCAACCAAAAGTGAGGAATCTCTCACCTCTTTGCACACTATGGAAGGTAACTTTTACACTTTGCAAACTACAAGCTGTTTATATAATCTGTATGTACTGTACGTGATCAAATCAGATTCAGTCAAAAATGTTTATGTGCTTGTTTCCATCCCAGGGGATCCCCCGAGTTACCGCCCTCGCAGACCTCGTTCTACTAGTGAGGCCCTTTCCGGTGACTGTAGAGACAATGTACAAAACCCCAGAACTAAAGACGACTACAGGCCCCACCCCCTGAATGGGAGTTATAATGGTGCTGATCATGTCCGCATTGCAGCGTGTGTTTCGCCTTCACAACAGGAGGACGATCTCGATCTTTGTCCGCCAGCTGCCGGCATCTATAGTTTGGACTTTGACCCCATGTCTTTTCAGTGCAGTCCAGCCTCTGCAACGCCTGGGCTGCAACGCAACAAAGACGGAAATAAATTGAGGAAGAGCGCAGGGTGTTCCAGTGAAGAACACATCTCTTCTCCTAACAACAACATTAGGGGCTATCATTCTCCAGATATTAGCCCGGTTATTGGTAAAGGTAGGAAGAAGGTTACCTCCAAGCAGCTCTCTCCTAAACTCAAAAAGAAATCATTTAAGACCCAGGCAGATGTTCAGAAGGCCTCCTCCTCTCCTCCACCTCTTCCTTCTTCTTCTCCCCCAGTGGAAAAGCGTGAAGCTCCTCTGGCAGATGGCAAGGAGCTGAGAGCCGCCTACCCACACTGCAGCCCACTCAGCATGGCAAGCCAGACGTCAGCCCTGACCGACCTCAGTCAGCCTGCACATAACCTCCCTGATCCAGGTTAGTACCACTCCTCTTTAACATAATACATAATATTAAACACGTATAGTATTATCTATTTAAATATTAATGCATTCTGTAGTTTCTTATGAAAGCTTTTGTGTCTTGTCCCATCATGTGTTACCATAGCTTTGTTTGTCCTGTCATACTGTAGCGTTGTTTGTCTTATCCCTCCCCAGGAACAGATAGACTTATGAGTTCAGTGTTTGTTCTCCCTCCTCACCCTCCCCTGACGAGTGCTGCGCGAAAGCTGGCTTTGGCTCTAGCTGAATCTGCCCAGAAGGCCAGCAGTGCCTCCCAGAGACGAAACAACGCCCCATCGCACCCCCCCCAGAGACGGGAAGCTCCTCACACCCAGGACAGACCACCCAGGCCCTCTGTTCTCGATCTTAAAGCGCACCCCCAGGAGTACAGTGGCTCTCAAGCCTCCTCTGGTTCCCAGTGGCAAACATCAGGACACAGCCCTGTAGAAAGGCACCACTGCCCTCATCCTGTGCAGTTCCTACCTGCGCACCTCGACTTGGAGCCGTTGCAGGTCATCGACGGACCAGAAAGCATGTGCAATTTCACACCTAACGTCAGCCCGCTCGGGTCAGGCTGCTTGGATGAAGGCAGTGCAGAGAGGAGAGACTGCAGGGAGGAAAAAAAGCGCAGAGATGCCACACAAGGAGAACCAACCTATCAGAGCGTTGGGGTTTCAACACCCACCCAGCCTGTCTGCTCCGCTCAGAGCCCATCAACTTCTCCTATATACGTGAACACCGACTCTATAAATGTTTTTAATTTCCGCGCTGTGCTGGCGGAGACCTCCATGCCTACCTCAATCGAGGAGGTCATTCCACGTCCTTCACAGCCCTCCTCAACCCATCACTACAGCCCAGAGGAGGACAGACCTCTCGGCCTGGTTGAGGATGGCTACAGCAAACATCATCGCCATCATCGGCCCATTCAAACAGAACGAATGCCTGCACCTCACTGCCCTCGGCCCGATGCCCTGCCACGTCACCTTTTCGGGCCAAGAAACATGTACAGGCAGTCCTCTGAAGGCCGCTACAGCACTTTAGGTTTAAGGCAACCTTTGTCACCTCAATACAGACGTTTCCCCAGAGATGAGCACCTTATCAGTGGGGGCCACAGGCATCCAGGCCAATGGCAGAGGTCAGAAGATAGAGCAGTTGGGCACCCAGCCATACGGAGAGCCCGCTCCTTTCACTCCCCTCACATTAGTCACTACGAGCTGGCAGAGACAGACTTCCTGCCCCCTGACACCATGTTTTATGTCGAGCAGTCGTCGAGCCAAGAGCCGCCCTATCAGAGTCTGGTTCAGACTGGAATCTATCCTGTACGGCAGCATTTTGAGAACTTACATGCTGACTATCCTCAAAACCCCTATTCTGATATAAATCCAGTTGATGGCTCCAGCTATTATGTAGAGCCCTGTAGGCAAAGAGGTATCCGACACAGTCAATCTTACACCATGCGCTCCACGAGAGAAAGTGGACAAATGGATTACTACAACTACGCTCAACACCATGCTCCTCCTGTGAACAGGGAGCTCCACATAGAAAAAAGGGACACTGTCGTTTACGAGGCTAGAGATGCTGATGTTTTCGAAAGAGTTGTATACCAACCAGTCAAGCAGGAGAGTCATTCCAGACTTAAAAATACATGTCCAGATGTGCCACTTTATGAGATTCCTGTCTCGCCGACTGACACGAGAAACAGAGACATTGTGCACACAAGAAGCAAGTCTGACCCCGGGAACGCATGCCTCCTCTCTGCCAGCAGGACAGAAACTCAAAATATTGCGGTTGCTACATCCCCATCTTCTTCGAGGTCTCAACAGGCAGTCAGTGAAGTCACCAGACAGCAGTATAGTCGCCAGTCGAGTGCCGAGCCGGGATCATCCAGGCAGTTTCAGATCAAAGAGAGCTCCTCGCGCCAGCCACCTCTTCGTAAAGTCCCTTCACTTCCAGAGAGGGGCTGTACTAACATCAAGAATGTGGAGCAGAATAACAGAAGCCACACACGAGGCCATGACCAGGATCGTTTCACGAGTTCTAACGCTGTTAACAGCTACTCCGGTATTGTGAAACCTGGCATCCTCAGGAGGCCAGGGAGGTCGCAGAGCACCAGAGAAAATCGTCACTACTATCATTACAACCCCAAATCCCCCCTAGATCCTGAACATCTGGGATCTTTTTCCACTCAGCCCAACAGAAGAACTCAGAGCACTAAAGTCCGGCCCACACAATATGACCACAAGGAGGAGTATTATGCAGCGCCCAGACCAAAACCCACAAGATCGAGTAAAGCCGTGGCAGGATATTTGCCCAGCCAGGGCTGCATGTCTCCCCGCGGGCACAGACTGCTGTCCAAGGCTCTGGGTCAGGAGGCTTTTTATCATGCTGCACTGAGATCAGAGGCCGGGGTCTACGACTGATTCTGACCACTGGTTTTATCCGATATCACATCGGGGCCAAAGGAGAACAGCACTTTATTCTCTGCCAGACCAACAGACTGTTGAAAGTGTGTTTGTTTAAACCGTCAGGAGCTGCTAAAATGTGTGAAGTGAGATTACTGCTTGGGATCATACTGTCTCCGTCACTGGTAGTTTCATATTTAGCAATGGATTTTGAGGGAGCTCAAAGGGAACTAGTATGCAGATATTGTCTTAAATGTATTTGGAAGTAACATTAAGAGAGGCATGTATGGCTTATATATTTTATTTAATGTTTAAACAAGAGATGCTAAACTGAAGTAACTGGTTTTATTAATATGATTTCAGTATAGGAATGTGTACTCAACAACATTCATTTTAAATGTATTATATTTGTATAATAACACACCGCTAACATGTGGCCAATGTACTGTACATTTTCTTTTATATCCCTGTCTACTCAGACTTCAACAAGCACTTTTGAGGATAACTGTGTATGAAACACATTGTCTTTTCGTGGTGTACATGAATCCTCTTGATATACAGTATATATTTTTTTCTGTAAGAAACGGCTTGCTCTTAATCATTTATAAATAACAAATTAGCACTTTTGGGGGGTAAAATGGAAGATAACCTCATCTTTTTTCTTTAGCACACATTGTATAATGCAATCTTTAAATAGCAATGAGTGCTATGATTTCTGTTAAGGTCAAAGCTACCATGGCAACATATGCTACACATAGCCTACTGTAAATGCAAATTAACTCATTCAGCTCAGTGAAAAAGTGTATTTTGTATGGCATTGTGGTCACAAACATGAACATTTCTTTCCTCTTTTAGGGAACTTTTAACAATGTGATGTTTTACATAAAATATGATGTTTATTTCAATAAAGAAGCTGTTTCAGATCCAATCATGTAGAAGAGGATATTCTGTTAAGATATGTTAAATGCGTTATTTTAGTGAGTCTTAAACAAATAAAGATACTTTATCATATCAATTATAGTTTGAATTCTTGTCTCATATATGTTGTCTCATAGCCTTTAAGGGCTGATTTGTGTGTATCAGCCCTTAAAGAGTGAGGTTACTTACCGGGTTTGGCATTGCACTGAAATAACACTGTCAGACTCACAAATAAAAAAAGACCACAATAATTGCAGAGGAAAAAGAGATAATATCTGCTTATTTATTTAAATATATTTTACAGATTTATATTTCTTTATAACATACCGCCTACATTACCTACAGTACAATGCAATATTAATGCCAAAAGTTGCGTCAGAGGTTCAGGTGTGTTATACTAATAGCATAACGCACATGTGTTGCTAGTAGCAGCAACAGGAGCAGTCTACAGATGTCTGGTAAGCTCACTTCTTACTTACTTGACAATCCTAAAAGTGTTTAATTTCAATCTGGGCTCCAAACCAACTCACTCTGACTCAAAAAACACGATGTTTGTCAAACAACAGTTTTGGCTGTATTTGCAAGCATACATTTTGGTCAAGGAGGTAAAATAGGCTATATTTAACGCTAGCCATCCAGGATTGAGAAAAAACATTAGTGTTGTATTCTATTCTTACAAGCTGCATAAAATATATTTCTTCTTCTGATTGAAACTTTATTATCATTACATGTTTTCCAAGTTTCGACTCAAATACGGTGGGATTTTGGGAAAAGGGTTATGTTCAACCAACAACAAATGTATTTTCACCCACATGTTTGAAAGAGTATTTTAAACTTGCTAAAAGAAAACAAAATAATGAAATGCCAGAACAATGGTTAGTGTTTTGAACCATTTTTAAATTCGTATTATTCCTTTTAAAAATATTGCCACCTGACCCCCAATTTAGGAGCTACTATATTAAAAATACACGTGCTGCCCAGTGGCTTCTGCTCACCACAAGGAGGCACTGTAGCACTGCAGGAATGATACATCTCCTATTCACGGAAATCACAGGCTTTGATTTGCTTTTGTGACAGGTCATATCTATTCAAACACATTGCAGAGGATCCTTTTTTTTTTTTAATAGTGATTTTGAATACTCAGTTATTGAGTGTGAAAGATCCCTCTGGTTGACTACAGTAGTTACCTTGGCTGTGGATGACTTGCTCTGAAAACGAGTATGCGCCTGTATAGCCTACTCCTAGACTACCATAAGCTTGTTGCTTTAGAAACGCCATGCAATCATAGTTTAAAGTGTGCTTGAGAGGCTGAAGGATAATCGGAAGGAATCATCCAAGGTTGTCCAAAGTGCCTTGGGAATTGTTGCTTTGTTAGAAATTATTAAAGTGCCCCTCTTCCCGCCCTCCCAGATCAAAACAGCCTCCCATTCACAGCTGACTGAAAGGCTTGGTCTGTGGTGAAAAAACCATTAAGAGAGCCTGTGGACTCAAAGCAATGTCTCCTGGCAGCTCTGCATTGCTCCTGGAGCAGTGAGCCATTGTTTATTCATCGCCGCATTGGCATTCAAAGTGCATCCTCACTGTTCTCTCTCATAACCAACAAGTTGCAATTTTTATGCATGTGAAGGTTGAAGGCAAATTATTTATGGGAGACTGGACCTGAGAAAAGAGAACGGCCTCGAGCAAAATGGTTTACGTTGGTATTTTCTATAGGCTATTGAATTCGCTGGATCACAGCAAGATATGCATGTATTATTCAGCTTTTCAGATGAAGAATTGTTGCCCTGCTAGACAGCCATCTGCTTTTTGGACATTGTGATGCATTTGAGATATGCTATACTTTTCAGGATATGGTTAAGGTCTTTTTTTTCAGCAGGGGACAAATTAAATGAGTGGAAAAATGGTTCTTCAGTGTCCCTCCCTCTAGGTTTTTTCATCCCCCTCACTGCAACGAAGGTTTTAAAGTAAGAAATAACTGAGAAGAAATGGTGTAGGTCTTGATGTGTCTGAATTGAGAGAAATAGTTGAGGTTCAGCTGCAAAGGGAAGAAACTTTCACCTGTATGAGAAATTATTCAAGAACATCTGGTGGCGTCCAGATGCAGGGATGAAATGTGTGAAGCTTGTGGTGCCAAACATCAGCAGGTGCAAGGTGAGAGGACTGCCATATCTCCAGGGGCAGGTGATCTGCGGGATAATGGTTGCCCTATACACCTTAGAAGATTACTCTTTAGAATTGCACAGAATTGGGCATTATAGACTCTTTACATTCTGGAGGAACAATTTAAAAACCCTAATGGTTCTTTCTGTGCAGTCTGCAGATCTAGTGGTAATATAGCACATGGCAGGAGCTGTGTTTCTCTGGTTCACTGCACTTTAGTGGCTCCATAAAGAATACTTTTTGGTTGTTCATTATAGTCTAATGTTCCATTACAAAACATTATTGGAACTATATGAATGTACACTTTCTCATTGTTCCTTTGATAGATCTTGACTATGTGCAGAGTGCATTTAAGTAAAAAAGTACAGCGTAAGCCTCCATTTCTAAAATAGATATGAATCCTATGAAGCCAGGGCTTATTTAGTAATTCATATACGTTTTTATTTCTTGGGAATACGGATAGAGAAGTTTTGTATATGTGTGTTCTCCTGGAAATGTTCCTTAAAATAAATGTTTTAGTGAGCACTAAAGCAGCACCATACCTCATAACAAGCATCCATTTTAGAAAATGTCCCTTGTTCTGTGTGACTAAGGGAAGTCTGATCCTCACTCTGTACAATCTGGCTTTGTGCACACTGTCCTCAGTGTTGACGGTTACAAGATTAGTTTCACAAGAGCTAAACAAGTAGTCTGCAGTTTTTAACTTTTAGGCACGTTCCTGTTATCTTGTCTACATCGTACTGATTATTTAGTTAGGAGAAGCACAGCCTTCCATGTTTTTTAGATTTTCTCTCATTCCATGCTTGTTTGTAAGAAGTGTTTAAAAGAGCGCTTTAAAACAAAAACAATCTCCATAAACACAGACATTTCAGTTTGTATTCTTCGAGGTCAGGTGGTAGGGACATGACGAATCACGGAAGGATACATCATGACTGAAGAAGAAACTAACGTGGGTGTCTGTCACTGTTTTTAAAAACGTCCTCATTTCAGACTGTCCTGACTATAACAAAAGCCAGATAGTTGTACGGGCTCAAAACCCCCAGAGTAGTGTGGACACTAGGCATTAGCGTAGCAAAGGTTTAGCATTTTAAAATGGGACTGTATTGGTGTGGATGTAGCCATAGAGATATTCTATGGTTCACTGAGATTCCTGGTTAACATGACAATGGGTTCTAATTAAATTACAGCCACCAAGAGAACCAATTAGGCCCTGTCTATGGCCAGAAGTATATCTTTTTGTTTATTTAATTCAAGTGTATCCATGGTTTGAAATCGAAAATCAGCTGCTTTTTAGAGGAGGGAGTGTTAGCGAGTAGAGGAAAGCAGGGATGTAATGCTTGGTGATTGAATAAGTGATTAGACCCCAGGTTTACACAAAGGCTCCTCACTTGCAGTAATGGCTGTCTGTCAGGGCTCAGTTTTTTTATTTGACATTAAAATGCATGTCAAAGTGACTAAGCAACCAGAAGACTGGGTTCTGGCCCACACAATGAAATGCTCGGTTTGTGTTGCAAAATAATGCTCTTGACCTTTAACTGATGAATAATAACGAGAGACAGAGAATGCAATTATCCAAGGCATTACAGTTGGTTCAAAAGGTAACACCCAGTTGAATAAGCTTTACCCATGTGAATCCATCTGGGACATTTACTTGTAAATGATACATCTGTTATTTTTGGGGCATGGCTTTACGGTGCTTAATACAGTTTGATTATTTGGAATTTCACAAACATTTAAAACCATAAGGCATTACTAATGAGGAAATGAGAACAAAAGCCACATAATTCAAACGGTTCCAGGCAACAGAGGGTTTTATCCATAGAAAATAAAAAGCTCCCCATCTGGATCACTGAGCATTCAGGGTAACCATCAGATGAGAGGCCAGAGTAAACAAGCTCACGCTCAGTTGCTGTGCAGACCCAAAGCATTCACTGTTGCTAATGTTGTTGCCACTCCTGCAGGTGGATATTAAGTTGTGGTGTTCAGTGACACTGAAGGAAGACTGGTAAAATAGTCAGGGTGTGAAGATTGTATATTATAAAGAAACCTATCGCTAAGCAGAAAATTATTAAAAAGCAGTCATTTAACGGAACAGGGAGCATCACTTGCTTCAGGCACTACCTTCCGTAATTTCAAAAGTGCTTAATTTAGCCGGGCATTTAAGGATTTCATTTCTGCATTATCCATGCTCGGATATAATCTGTGTCTCTGACATGCCTTTTTTTAAGATAAGAGGAAATATAAAAAAAAATCTTTGTAAGGTCAAAGCAGCCACAACACCTCTTTCCAAGTGCATACTGTATAACAGGTTTTATTGTTAAAAGGTAACAAATTGTGTATGTTTAATGCTAAATTGAGCGAGCTAATTTTCTTTTGCTTTATTTCATTAAACTTAAAGGTGGGGTAGGTAAGTTTGAGAAACCGGCTCGAGATACACTTTTTGTTATATTCCATGGAATGCTCTTAACATCCCGATAGCAATGAATATCTTAAGTGCTTTGACAAAAAATCCATAAAAAATCCATAAAAAAATGTCATCTGTGGAAGCCGTAATACTGTAAAAAGCACGACCAATCATTTTAGCAGGCTAAAATGATTGGATGGCCTACCTGCCTGTCAGCCTTCCATCTGTGCACAAACTTATCTCGTGCCCTCATTGGTCATGTGCGTGTTCGTGTGTGTTGGAGGAGGGGCTCTGTAAGGAAGTGGCAGATTTTTTCCGGCTGTGTATTTTCAAATTCTAGCACACTCGAGCTGGTTTCTCCAAAATTACCTACCCCACCTTTAACTTTATATGATTAATGCTTTAATATAAGTTCAACCCGGTTCAATAACAAAATTATAATTGACTAATAATTAGAGGTAATTAATGCAGACATTGATCATCTTCACACAGAAATGCAGCCCAATGTGATGTTTTTTTCTTTTATATAGAGC